TATCACTTACGTCGCGCGCTCGGAGAAAAGTAAAACCCTAAACGTGGGGTACGAGACGCGCAAAGGACGCGCTACCCCTAACTAATTTTTATATTCAAACGTGTACCGCGAGCTGAAATCTCTCGCGACATGGGTTTGGATAAATTACAATTTATACCCACTCTCTCCTAGCCTGAGTTTAATCGATCTCTTTTATCTTGATTTTTATTCTCCTCCAATTGATTTTATATCACCTAACAGGAATTATTAATTAAGACAAATATACATAGTTCCAACTGTTTCTCTAATTAATACATGAGCACTAAACTCGTTCTATATGCCAGACATGTCCAATCAAGATTCTTCATAGTATGGTCCTCTCTAAAGAGAGGGGCATCCCTCCTACGGAGGTATTAACTTATTTTCCTCTCTATGTGTTAACATACATCCCCACCCCCTTTGCTTGATAGTGTAAGGTAGTCATATAAATTAAATTAGAATTTTCAGCTACCTTTCTGACGAAGGGACCTTCTAGTCTTATAAGATTCGAACTAGGTTCAATTATAGAGGGCTCCCGGGGGATGGTGGAGCCCTCCTACATCTCCGATGCCCAAATGAATAACCCACCTCAATCTTCACTATAAATGAGAGGGGCCCCCTGAAATCAGGCATGAGGCTGTTTTATAAAAATGAAGAATGACTTATTAAAAAGATGGAGTAGACACTGCTCTCACAAGGAGAGTGGTCAGCTTTTAGATAAAAGCTGATCACATCTATAAGTACCCCATGCCACCGTCGTACCATCGAAGATGCCTGTAGGATATATTATAAGGGTGTCCCCCCTAAGACGCCCTCCTGGTTTACAGGTACAGGTTCTCTCTTTTACCCTCTGTAAGGGACTCTTTTTAGTATACAGTCTCATATAACAAAGAGATTAATAAGTGCACTAGCTGATTAGACCAATAAACTGTCAATCGGCATAGGGTATTCCTGTTACCAGTACCAAGAGTTTTGTCCACCACTATTATGAGGTAAATTCTCCCCACCCATGACCTTCTGTCTACAAGAGAGACACACTGGGGTAATAAGTTTTATATAATCTCCTGAGATTAAAAAAGTTAATCTAATCACGGGACTATAGTTTCTATTATAGGACTACTCTACTTTTATATAGATAAATTTACAAACAAAATATTACAATCTAACTAAGGCATATGAGATAGTTACAACTTGGTATAACTCTTTGAGAATGTGACCATTCATCCAAAGTGGGTGTTCTATTTTTACAATTGTATATCTCATAAAACTAACACCTATTGGATTCGACCGTATTATACTTCGGTATCACTATTAGTACTTTATTCCAGGAATAATTTATCTAAATTAGTTATTACACAACTGTATTTTAGAAGTGTGTCCGTATTACATACAGTTTTTTATATTTTCACCATGTGGTAGATTATTGAATATTATATTATCCATTACCCCTCCCTCGAAGAGGGAGGGCATGCCCACTCTTTGAAAGACTAGAGTGGGGGACCCCTCCAGAGGG